TTCTGGGATTTGGCACCGTGTATATGTGGTGCCGTTTCTCACGGTGTTGTCGCTTGCAGATTTCTTATACTTTTTCTTCTACCCTGAAGATGGGGGCGATACGTTCCTCCGAAACGTCGGTTAACACCACATATACACGGTGCCAAATCCCAGAAGACTGCTTTCTTCAAATAATATTTTTTTCCTTGGCACTACAGCCCCAGTGGGCCCAGGCCTACCTCCATGAACTTCTCCGTTCACTTCGGTTTTTCTAGAACTTACACATTCGGTAGGACTCCTTGGGCCGGTGATCAGCTCGTCGCAAGGCCTCTACCTGTACACAAACACAGAAAAAGCACACACACAAACTAAACATCCATGCCCTGAGTGGGATTCGAACCCACGATCCCGGTTTCCAAGCGAGCGAAGACAGTACATGCCTTAGACCGCTGGGCTACCGTGACCGGCTAACCAAATAATTAGCTAAATAAATAACAGATTAAATTAATGAATGGAAAAGTAGCTAAGTAAATAAATACATTCTTAACTAGATAAACATTTAGTTAACTTATAAAATATGTAAATAACAAGGGACAAAGTAATTAATTAACGACTGAACTAAATTAATGGCTACCCAAATAACTAAGAGAATCAATAAAAAAGTAAATAGCTTACTACATTAATATATAAACACTAAAATAAAATGATTTAACTAAAGAAACAAATGAGTAACCAAATAAATAATTAAACACTTAAATAAACATCTAACCGAATAATTAATCGAGTAAATAAATATATATATATTATAACGAATTTGTTCAAAGTATGGCTAGGCAACGGCTCGATAAACAGTCTGTTGCACCTGCTCACGCTGGTTCACTCGCGGATTTCTTCTTGTCTTCTACCCTGAAGATGCAGGCGATACGTTCCTCCAAAACGTAGGTTAACACAATATTTACACGGTGCCACATCCCAGAAAACTGCTTTCTTCATAGTCATCGCCGTGAAAACCTCAAATCTTACAAACAAATAACTAATACTGGTATCCAGCCTCCAGCAGAGAGATAAGTAAGCTTCTGGTTTGAAATTGAACGCCTAACGATACAGAGAACCTCTGCAAAGTAACATGTAACCGGGCCCCATGATGCGGTCCGGCGCCCGCAGTTCACTTGCAGCCAGCACGTTCTCTGTACAAAACATCGAAGCCATCGCGTTCCCAAGGAAGCGGCCATGTACACACTTATTCATCTTCACTTTATGTCACACCCGAATAAACACCTGTACAAGAAAAGGGATGTGGGAGCAGATTGCGCTGCTATGCCATATTGCAGAACTGGCGGTGGTCAGGTATATGGATGTATAGCTTAAACTTTCTTGACGTCGGCACTAGATGGAGCCGAGCAGTCAGTTTCACGCTCCTTCCACTTCATCTGTAGGGGAAAAACCCGGTACCCATTTGATAGGAGACTGGGTGGGCTCCAGAGCTGGTCTGAACGCGGTTCAGGAGAAAACTTCTCTTGTTCTTGCCAGAGAAGAGCCTCGTAGCCCGTCCCTATACTGACTGAGCTATCTGCGATGGGCAGATCAATGAGAAGTACGAAGAACAAAGTTTGGTGAATAGATTTATTGAAGTCTCAAGGTCGTAATTACAGATAATTATAACAATTTCACTGGTTTACACACTCTAAAGATTACTGTAACTACAACATACAAAACCATGTCTATTTACGCTAGTCGTTGCTGGGTAACGAATCTTAGCTGGTTAACACTCCACAGCTGAACCGTCACCTTCCCACGAATGAATTACGACGAGATAATTGAACTCTCCTGAACTCTCCTGAACTGAACTGAACCGAATTCTCGAATGTGGCTATCTTGCGAATGTCAGTGAGTGTCAGAGTCACTTTACGACTGGCGATTTACCGCCAATCAGTTCTTCTTGGCGACAAAGCCTTGAGACCCACGAAAAGTAATTTTATTTTCCATCTGAACACTTTATAGACCTTATGTAACATCCTCTCTGGCGAGAGGGTAGGTCTATTGTTTACAATTGCTGCTGGTCCTCGCCAATGTAGTCATTTTCGGGCCCGAGACCCGCGGGACACATGATCACATTTTACACTCTCAGATTCGAGACTACCCTAAACTGGAGGGCCAGGTTCCCTTATTTATATACCCCAGGAACAGGGTGGCCCAGTTATAACCCCAGTAATTGGATATTATTTTTGCCGCCTCCTACGACCCACAGGGTTACGGTGGAGCCGATTGTCTAGAAAATGTGGGAGCCTCGACGTCTCACAAACCTATTGGCCTCTACGACCTGTTACAGGGATAGCTTTACATTTTTTACCTAACTGATATAATTCTGTATTTTGAAACTGTGTCTTTATTTTCTGTCTGGCCAATTATCAAAGCTTTTAATCTTCTTTACATAACAGTATAAGTCACTGAATACTAATATAAAGCGTGACTCAGCTGCGATGTCTGTGACGTGTGTCACTACGGCCAGTTAAGTAGGCGCATTACGTGCATGAAGGGAAGCGTTTGCAGTTTTAAATAAAATTAAAAGATATAAGCCCAGCTTTCAGCTCATAAAAATTGCTTGGTCTAGAAATTAAATTCAATTTATTTTTGGCTTGTGTAGAACCGGGAATATTATATAACGAGGAATTTGTGTTTAATACTGTTCATTTAAATACTAATAATGCTTAGACCCGCAGAATGCGTGGTGCAAATGTTTAAGGTCAGCAATCCAAAGTAATTGCTCTTTATATTGTCAAGTATTAGTGGTTTGCGTGACTAATAATGACGGGTTTTGGATTGATTGATTGGATTCATTGACGCCATCTGTTACAATATCTCTTAATCATAATCAATTATAGTGTTATCGCTAATCTAACCTCACAAACCATTAGGATACGCTAAGCCATCTCAGTCTTCATTAGTCGTATCCTGACAACGGATTTACAACAGTCTCACTGTAACCACAGCACACATCAGGTCTTGTTTTCGCAGGCTAACTCCGTTGTACTCCTTCAGTACTTCCTTCAGTTCTCATTCTTCTCACTGACTGCTCAGTCTGAGTTTGAGTCTGAGTCTCATTTTACGACCGACGGTCAGTCGGCCAGTCTGTCTTGGCATACAGCACCCATCTGGGGCTTGCGACCAGATCTTTATTACTGTTTGAAGTTAGGGTCCTGTTTTTTTTTTTTGTGGGCGCCCTCTCTGACGAGAGGACGGTTCTGTCTTTTGTATATGCTGCTGGTCCTTGCCAGCGCAGTCCTTCTCGGGTCCGAGTCCCTTGGTACTCGAGACCATATATTACTGTCTCAAATTTGAAACTTACCTTTTCGTCGCCTCATACGACTCGCAGGGTCACGGTGGAAGTATTCGACCCCGCCTCCTCAAGGGTCACTTGTAATTCCCCGTTATATAGCCTCGGGGCGGACCCCACGGAAAGCACCCTCTCCCAACAATTCGTAGGGATATTTATGGGTTTGTTGTCTAGAAATGGAGTCCTATTGTTCTGCGGGAATGTGTTCAACGATAGGTGCCTAGCAATGAACATGGCGTGGACCACATAGAAAACATTTCTTGCAATACCCTTTCTGTTGTTACGTGTGCGTATTTCGGACGTTGCCTAGAAATGGATGTACATGTCACATCATGAAGCTCAGATTGAGCTGTGTCAGTTTTAACCCATTTGACGTAAAACCGAATTGAATAGCGTTCAAAATTCAACTGTAAATATAATTTCAGAGTATTCGTAGAATGATTCCAAACACACAAATGCACTCTTTGGAGAGAGTGCAGAGTTTATGAAAGATAAAGCAGTTGGTATATATAGCAACAACTGAGCCTTAAAGGTTAATTCAGTTCATAGTCACCGAGCATGATGATGTAGCGGTAATTCTCGAGACTGGTATTTCAGAGATGTTAGAGTCCAATTTCAGTCAACGTCATCTACTGTTTTTACTGAGATATTTCAAGGTTTTCCCGAAGTTCTCACAGGCAAATTCCAGGACAATACTTCAAATTAATCCATGACCTCTTTTTCTCCACATCATTTCGAATATAACCTTATCTAATCAACGTACAATACGACGCTATATTGACTTTGCTGCTGACAGCGTCGTTAAATGAACAACAAAATTAATTAGCCCGGGATGTTTCTCAGTGACTTTGTAGCTAGCAGTAACAACGCTTAGGGAACGCAGAGGTTACATGGAGATAGGCGGCAGACTTGTCTGGTGTTACGTAAGAAACTGAACACATCCCAAAATAACTTAATGGTAGACCGCGAACTCAGAGAAACGAATCTGTAAAAATATTCCTCGTGCCAGCAGACTGGAGGGGAAATACCTTCAGAAGATCTCAATTTGCTTTCTTTCTTTTGGTACATATCCAATGGTGAAGGTCGGACATGTATGTTAAAGTATAGACCTCACTGATACATACAGTTAATCGAGTTGAACCTAAACTGAACATGCGCTGTGATGAATGGTGCAGCGTAGATATAGGCTGCCCCCAGAGTTTTCTTGTTTTCCTTTCAGCGGAACTCCTTGTTTCTGTATTGTATTGTAGTCCCATTTCAGCCACTGGAGCACTTAGCAAAGAATTTTCTCGCCCTGGATTTTCGAAAAATAATCAAAATTAAAAGAAAAAAAAAAGTGGAAGTATACTAAATATGAATATCAAAATTTATATTAATTTTTAAAATGGATAGTCTAGGACAATCAGTAGAGACAGTCTTAAACGCCTTAGAGGTAAATTTATAAGCAACATTTCTGGTT